CCACGACTTTGCATTTCAGACTATACTTTAAAATTGGTACATTTTTTATGTAAACAGTGTGATTGTTGCTATTTTAAATGGGCCAGTTATATGACCTGATATGCTTGTAATGCAACAGCTTTATGATAAACGTGTACAGTAAGATAGACGACTTAAAAAAAAAAATTCTACTTCAGGCATAACATATAATGAATATCTACTTATTCTGTGCAGGGTTTCACAAAATTGCAAAGTATGATTTTTCATTAAGCACATCTATGTGAATAAGCATATACTATGTGGAAACATGGAATTGGAGAATTTTCATATTCCATAGCTTCCATATTTTCATATAAGTTTTTCAGCAGTTGAGCTCTATTTTCACTCAATAAACAAGTAGAACTTCCACTGCATGAGTTTAAGTCCCCAAAAAAAGAGCACATAGAATATGACAAGAAAATGTTTATAATTAGTGCTGGGTATTGACGCACATTTAAAAACTATTTTAAATGAAGTTTCTACTCCAAATAATTTTCTGAAATATAAACATTTAAACAGTGGTTTTGATGATAACTTGTTTTCATGACATTTGTTCAAACATTAAATGCTGAAAAACAGATTACATAAGACATGATACATTTCATTAAGTTATACTGTATTGCTCAACATACTTTATGATGCTTACTCACGTTTATTTCATGTTATAACTAGCAGTAAAGAGTTAGATCGATGCTTGTAATCTAGCTTGTAAGCCACTGGCTAGCTAGTACGCTAACTGACGGTTACAGTAATGCTCGTCAGTAAAAACTAATAAAATCTGCCTTTTCTTTTCCTCAAAAACGATAGCACACACTGTGACAATATAGTTTATAAGTAGATCACCAAAAACTTACCTAATCTTGCGGCAGTTTCTTGGTCTCCTGACACAAGACTAGCTATATCTCCAGGCAGTCATTTCTCGGTTCTGCAAAAATGCTGTAAACATAAAAAATGGTTACAAATAAAATTTGACAGTCACATGCTTGAAGGTGTACAACATGTGCTACAGTTTACTGTACATATAGAATAGTGAAATTTCCATTATCTAATATACTGGTACTGAACTGTAATTATACTGTATGTGTAAGTATAAAACCCCTGTAGATGATTGGCTCAGCTCTCTCCTCTCTCCATTGTTAGCATGCAGAGATTCTGATTGGTGTGTCATCTGTTTTGCTACCTAATGTTTAACTTACTCATTGTTAAACTTTTTGAGAAATGTGTCTTTGTTTTGAAAACAGAATTAATGGTTTGGGAAAAAAGTGCCAACTAAAATCAGTTATATTAACAATCGAGAAAACTGCAATACAACTAGATACTTACCTAACTCTGCTATTAGTTTCTGTGATCGGCATTTACTTATTTATTTCATGTTGCAGTAATTATCTGATTCACGAACAAATGTAAAAACAATTTGTTAGTGAACTGGGCCACGCTTTGTGGTTTTGACTCAAAAAGTTCCGGTTCTTAAGAGTAATTTGTTAATGAAGCTGACTACACTGGCACGCTGCCTGCGTGTGCAACCATCGTGCACAGTTTATTAAAAGATGTGTTTTTGCCATTTACATTTATATTTTATTCTGTGATAATTCTGGGGTTGCAGGTGCAGGTGGGGTGGCACAGCTTTTTCTTAGGGTGGCAGTTGCCACCCCCTGCCACCCCGGTAGATCCGCCCCTGTGACTGCGATCTTTACACGCCACCACCGTGTGAAGGGGAGACAGAATCAGGTGGAGAACGATTAGCCAGGACAAAACGAGGAGCTTGTTCCTAAATGAGGGACTAGCCTACGTCTGTAGCATGGACATGCGTTTTTTAGCACTGCAGTTTTAAAACAACTGATTTTAAGCCGTTGAAACACAAACAACAGAGCAATATGCGTGCGCCGTCTCTGTTTCTGTGCGAGAGGAGAGCGCATTTATTTGCCGCTTTGAACGATTACATAAACACACTTATATGCGTCAGAATCCCCGTCTTTCCAAGTATCATTATAAACACAGTGATTTAGGTCTTAAGAGAGAGTAAACAGCTGAAAAAGAAAAAGCATATGTAACAGTATATTGGATCCAGACTTTGGTTTTAAAGGGGAAGATGTCTAATATCCGTCCTGTCTGCCATTCATATTAATCAAACAACAGTGAGAGAAAATCTCTCACTGCTCTTGACTAAATTACTTTTGTAACTTTAATAAGAAGAAATTAAAAAATAATAATGATATATATATTATATATGTATAGAATCTACACATAATACACGTGTTAACTATATCTATCAATCGATAGATATAATGAACACAGTGAAGACTAGTTAAATTTACGCAATGTATGTAGCATTTCTTATTTATTGTAGTTTTTTGTCCTATTGCTTGCAATTATAGTTTATTTTCCTTATTTCATCACTGACTGTTTATCTTCAGTGAGCTTGAGGATTTTTTTTTTCTCTTTTTAGACTTGTATTAGTTTGACATTGACATTGGTGATAAGGATTATGAAAATTCTATGGTATCAAAGATTTTAATATCATAAAAACCTTTTTAAAAGAAAGAAGAAAAAAAAACTACATTGTGATAAATATTGTTATCGTGATATAAAATTAATCATATCGTGATATAAGATTTTGGTCATATATATATATATGTGTGTGTGTGTGTGTGTATATAGGATCTATACATAATACACGTGTTAATTCTATCTATCTATCTATCTATCTACCTATCTATCTATAGATAGATAGATAGATATAATTAACTGAAGACTAATTAAATTACACAATGTAGGTAGGGTTTCTTATTTATTGCAGTTTTTTGTCCTATTGCTTGCAATTAGTTTCTTATACTTATTTCATCACTGACTGTTTATTTATCTTCAGTGAGCTTGAGGTTTTTTTAGGCTTGTATTAGTTTGATATTGAGATTGGTTACAAGGATTATGAAAATTCTATGGTATCAAAGATTTTAATATTATAAAAACCTTTTTAAAAGAAAAAAATAACAATATGATGATATATATCGTTATCATGATATAAAATGTGTCATATCGTGATATAAGATTTTCGTCATATCGCCCACCCCTAGCCAACATTGTTATTGTTAACTAAAACTATTAACTATTTTTTTTTTATTAATTGAATTAAAGCTGAAATAAAATTAAATATAAATATTAGATGAAAAACGTACACTTAAAATAACACGGAAAGCCAATAGCCATTAGTTTATCACAGCCCAGGAAGACTATGATTTGCTTCATCCAATCGGTGGCATGTGGTATTACAAAGAGGGGACAGTTTCATTTCTAGAGTGCTTTTTATTGAAATAATGAGTATACGCCCTAAGCAAGAGATGAAGTCATCATTATTTTTGGTCCACTTTCCAGGATGTGCTTCTGCTACAAGTTTTTGGAACATACTTTCATATAAATTGGCGCAATGCTTTTATAGAAATGGACTAAAAGCCGCAAAACGAATCTCAAGTTTTTGAGGGCTTCAGTGTCATTCCTGTGTTCTGCATTAAAGGGATAGAACCCAAAAATTAAAATTCTGTCATCATTTACTAACCCACATGTTGTTTATTTCTTCTGTGGAACTGCATGAAGGTGCGTTTTATTTTTTGGGTGAACTATGCCTTTAATGTTGATCCTGCATTGAAACACAAGAAGATCAAGCAGTGTCCTTGTTAGTAGTGTTCCCTGCCCTGGGGAATCTTACTGGGGTCACCATTAATAACTAATGCTACTGTCTGTCATGGCCACAAGCTATCACTGTCAGTTTTCACTACAGTCTTCAATTTACAGAGAAGTGTGTGATAGAGATACTTACATACATACATTTTGGTTACAGAAGTGTGCCTTCATGGTCGCTCATTGTTGTTTCTAAGCATTCGGTAACTCCTGGACAATCCCTAGCACATACAGAGGAGTTTCTTTAATTGAAGCCATCATAACAGTTTGATGGTGTCAAAGTCTTTGGTACCCACTGACACTGCACACTACGCGCTCGTGTACATCCACTCAGGTTAAAGCTGTGACCCCCGGTCAGTGTAGTGTACCAAACAGAACTGAGAGCATTGCTAATGTGTTCCTCCCCCGTCAGCGTATGACTCATTGTTTTGCATCACTGTTGTACTCTCCATGACCGCAGAGGCTTTGTTATCTCTATAGCCACACAAAAGAAACCCTGCATCATAAATCTTCATTCCTCTCCTCTTTGTAACTTTGAAAACATCTTGATTCTGAAACACCCTAAACTAATGTAAAGATGAAACCCCAGGAATGTAGTCATTTTATAGTGATTGGTGGGTGTATGCTTAAAGAAAATGTGCCATTGTTGTTATGATTTTTTAAATGTTACTTGTTTATGCACCTGGTAGATGCTTTTATCTAAAATGACTTGCATTCATGCATTGACACCATTTTTTATACGAAAAACTTTGTATAATAGGAACAAATTGTATAGCATGTTTCACAATACACAATTGTGCAGCTTTACAAAAAATCAGGATGTTAATGTTTTGGATATCTGAATATCTTAATGCCTTAGTCGCATTAGACAGATTAGAGCTGGGCAATAATAAAGTTTACATTTTGCGACAATCATTATATTATATTGTAATAATTTTATTTTGGTATTATTGGTTTTATTGATTTTTTGTTATTTTTTTGATCGTGGTTCAGTAATCATTGTATAAATGGGTTCCCCCTCGACACGTCTTCCTTGCCCCTTATCCTTACTCTCACCAATAGTCAAGAAGAAAAGTAATTTTTAAAAACGAATCCACATTGACACATGTTAACTACCTACTGATTTAATTGATGATTGCTGTGAAAGACAAAAAAACTTATTTGGAATTATATGTAATAATACAGCAAATATTACATTACAGTGTGATTTATGTGATTTATTTATATTAACAAGGCTTTCTAATGCTGTGTATACCTCAATTAATACAAACTGCTGTAATTTTTCACCTTCATTTGTTGGTCTATTTCAGATCATTGAGCTGGGGAAGAATGTGAAGAGCTACCACTACATCCTAGCAAACCTGGTAAGCTAAAAACACACCACTAATTTCAGCACTATGAGAGATTTCATGACTAATGCTCAGCATGAGGCTTTCAAATGTCACTGCAACTCTTGATATTACAGGTGATTTGCATATTTTCATTACTGACCAATCACAAGAAGCTGCTCACTATGACTAACAGACAAGATGTTATATAAACATTGCCTGGAGAACTGCTTTGTGAATATGAAAAACTACAAGTGATTTCTGCAGTCCTTGTCTGTAGGTGCGCTCAGCATATGAGAATGGAGGGCTAAATTTATGTAAACTGAAATGATGATAATCACAGCATTAATATGCTGTGGTGTGCTCCTGGATGGCACACTGCTGAGGATTTTAAATTAAACTGGTCTGGCCAGTTTGTTAGATGTAATTGTAAATGATAAATGATAAAGTTTGCAAAGCAATAAAGAAAGAACTGCCTGCTATTTCCATAATGGCCAAATTTGTATTACTCCCAGTGTCCTATTTATACTGTGTTTGCATGTGTAAGTGTGTGTGCATGTACATGGAGGTTTGTATCTGAGTGGATGCCCGTGTAAGCTTCCCAAGCCTTTTGGGTGAAGGCTAGTTTCTATAGTAACATCACCAACTCACCGCACCACATTCACAGCGACACAGTGCAGAAAAATACAACTCCATTCATTCAGATATGGACACCTGATACAGGTACATCACAGAGGAGAGACTAAGATGGGGAACTGATGATTTTAAAATTAAACACAATCTTCATTTCAGCAATCCAGACATTTATTCATGGTTCCTGTTGTTTGTTTGTTTTTTTTTAATTGTTTTCATAATATATGAAGTTATGACGTTCCCTGTATCAATGTTTCCAATTTTTCTGAGTATGTGATTATGTGTTTGCAGTTTGTTTTGAATGTGATGCAATTTTTTTTTAAAGTGTACTGCAAAATAATGGAACAAAATGTCTTTCTATTGAGTCCCTGTGGGCTGCATGTAAAAACAAATATTTTTGTGTACAGCACTAAAATATGATTCACCAAAAAAAAAAAAAAAGACTGTTACGGTGTAGTGTGCAAAAAAGGTCTATTGTCAATAGAGTAGAGATTTATATAGCACAGGTCACACAGAAATCACTTTAAAACCACTTTGTTTTTTGCAGTATTGGGGAAATCTCCTGATGATGTAACACAAGACAGAGGCTGTCCAGGTTATCATACTGCATGTTTAGGAGACACACCCCTCAAATCTTGCATTCTACATATACATTGACTGTTATGATTTGCCCAAAATCTTGCACTCCTTAAATCATTCACTTGGTTTACAGTGAGTTTGTGTAGGATCAGATGGGCAAAAGCCCTGACTGTAGTGCTAGAGTGGGAGGACCCTGGCAAATACTGACGAAATCCATCAAAAACCTGTGATCAATTCCATCAGCCACATACAACTGAAGGACATCATCACCAGGAAACATTCTCAGTTCCATGTCACTGTTGCTATGAGAGCAGATAGTCGACATGAGAGGGAATGCCAAAAGACATGCTGCTGGCCAAAAAATAAAAATGAGAACGACAGGGCCAATCATGAGAGAGCTGTGGCAGTGCTTCAAAAACAGCTCGCTGTTGTAATCAGAGACATCTGAATTGACTCCTGGCCCCATTTCTCCTCCATCTCTCGCTTGGTTATAAACTCCTTGTCCACACAAACGCGGTTATTTTTAAAACCGCAGCTTTTTATATACGCGGTTAGTCTGTTTGTCCACACTCAAACGCAGCATCAGTTCACTGAAACCGAACATTTTTGAAAACGCCTGCCAGGGTGAAGATTTTTAAAAACTCCGGTTGCAGTGTTGTTGTGTAGACAGCGAAACCGGAGTTTTTGGCTTGTGACGTCGGCGCCTGAGCTGTTATCTCCGCCTACTGGAGACTTTTTCAGGCTTCTGATTGGCCAACATGGCTTTACGGTTGAGATTATATCGCCACCTGTTGGTTTGGCTTGCTCTTGACCGTGATTCATAGCATGCGTTTGCGTTTTCATGTGGACGGAGATTTTTTTAAAAACGGAAGTAAAAACTCAGTTTTTAAAAATACCCGTGTACGTGTGGACATGGCCCTAGTGTCCTCTGGTGTGTTTAACCAGACAGACAGGTCACATGCTGCACTGTTTACTATGTTACCTTATCTGTGCTCTCCAACTACTCAAATGCCAATTCAATTGCTGTTGCTAAGGCAAACATCACTATTACTTGTACTCCAGCTAAGAGATTCAGAAGTGTTTTCATGAGCGTTTTGTTTTTCGAAATCAAGTGAAAGCTTCTTTCTGCAAACTGCATGACTTTGTTTTCTCCTTTAATTTAGTATAAAAACTCTTTTGTTTGGCAAATGAGCTCTTGATTGCCTCCAAAGACTGCAGTCATCTTGACAGAGGGAAGAACGTGCCATGTTTCAGATTTGAGAGCTTGTGATGACATGCGTCCCAGTCGTGCACTCAGTAACAGCCCCGCATAATATGTGCAGTGATGCAGACAGCCTGCGTATCTCTGATTGCCTCGTTCACTATCACCGTAGAGAGTGATGAGGCTGTGAAACAAGGTTGTGTGATGCTTTAGCCCTGAGGCCAGCTGTGTGATAGTGCTTCCCTCCAAGAATTGATTTGACGTTACGGGAGACTTTGAGCTGTCCCTGTGTAATGGTTGGTTACAATAGGGAGACTATTATATTGGTCTGGAGTATTTCTGTGAAATATTATTACTATTTAAAATAACTGTTTTCTATTTTAATATATTTTAGAATGTAATTTATTCCTGATGGCAAAGCTGAATTTTCTGCAGCAGTCTTCAGTGTCACATGGTCTTTCAGAAATCATTCTAATATGCTGGTCTGCTGCTCAAGAAACATATAATTATTAATGTTGAAATCTGTTGTGCTTCTTAATATTTTCATGGAAACATTTTTTATGATTTTTTTTATTAATAGACAGTTCAAAAGAACAGAATTTATTTTTAATAAAAAAAATTTCTAACACTGTGAAAGTCTTTAATAACACTTTTGATCAATTTAATGTGACCTTGCTGAATAAAAAATGTTAATTGAAATAATAGTAAAAAGCTTACTGACTCCAGACGTTTGAATGGCAGCTCATAGTTGCCTTTATATTTTATGTTTTATTTTAGGTGGATCATTACAGTATATTTTGAGGTCTTTGGCACCAAAGTATTTAGGCTGACAGCCCTGCCCTCTTTCTATTTCAATTAGTGGGCAACCAATATGGATCAACATTGGCGTATGGGACTTGTTTGCGGTGCCATTTTATTTTTGCCTGTCAGTGAGGATGTCAGAACGTGATATGATTGATTGCCCAGTCGACACTGTCAAATATGACAAATGTGTCAAGATTTATATCCTACAGTCTGACATAAAAAACACTGATGTTACACGATCTGCCATGTGTTCTGTACAATCATGCGCTTCTGACAAGCAACAAAAGGACAAAAACTCCCCTGAGTTTGAGTATGTGTGAGAGGGTATTTGAGGTAAGACACAAGCGTGAGGTCATGTTAGCAGCGCAGTGAATCTTGTTCACTGCCCTATGGAGCAGATGTTCCCAGGGAACACAGGGACACATTACTGCTCCTGGGGGACAAAGCGAGTTAAGGGATAAAAGATCAAAGATCAACACACTTATAGCCTGACGAGGGCTATTACACTCAAAACTCAAGCACACACACACAAACACACATCAACATATTGTGTTGTTGAGCCGAACACAAATAACTCTTTAGTACTTACACATTTGTATTAAGCTTATACAAATAAATGAACGGCTTCATGAAGAAATCATGAAGTGAAACCTTCCCAGTAATTCAGCGGGTTAGAATCAATTCTGTATGGTCTCAGGTACAGAGAGTGTGTGGGCTGCTTTTGGGGCAGCTGATTGGATTGTGGGAAAAGGCCTTGAATTACTTAAAAGAGCCTGTGGGATCAAAAACAGATATCTGGCAACCTCTCAGTAAGTGCAGCAGTTTTTGTTTTTTTACACCAAATTCCTATTCACAGCTCCTGCATTTTCTGGCACCACATCGGATAACAACCAAGCTCTCTTGGATATTCAGCCTCAGTAGATGAGAGGAATTAGCCTTTTTCATTAAGTGATTGACCCAACCATTCTTTCTATTATAGTTTTAAAACCTGTATTACATTTGACTGCACTCAACAGGCCCGGCCTCCTGCTCTCTCGCTGCACCTGAGCATTAATGCGAAAATGACTCCCTCTGCTGTAAATTCAGCCTCCATTTTCTGTCGAGGTCTTACATTGGATTTTTTTTAACAATTGCAGGGGATTTGTCATTTTATATAATTTTATTTCCAATTGGTCTCCCTTTTCAGTTTAGTCAATGACTTTTCTTTAATGATTGACATTTGGCTGAATTAGATTTCTTGGATTTCTTCTTATTTTCTTCACTATAGAGAACTTGTGTTTTTGAACTTAAGTAACTTAAATCACAGTATGTCATGCTAACATGTTCTCTGTGCTCCTGTAGGGATTTCTGGACATCGACCTGACCGAGTTTAAGAAGGGTGAGGCAAATGTAACAGGGTTCCAACTGGTGAACTATGCAGACCCTAACATCAGTAGGATAGTGCAGCAGTGGATGGACTTTGACAACAAAGACGCCAAAATTCCCAAGCGCAGACTGAAGGTGAGCCGCAAACCTGACTACATTTAAATCATCCACAGTGTGAAGAACTGAATATGCCTTGACAGAAAAAAAAACATGTAATTAAGTTGTATAATGAATCACTGGAACATTTGCAGAAAGCACAATTGCATAGCATCAGCATCTGATGACAAAATACAAAAGGCTTTTGATTCTTCTCTCTAATACAAATTTAGTTGAATAGTCAATTTAAACACATTTTAACTAGGGATGCGCCGATCCGATATTCATATCGGGTATCGGCTCCGATAGTGCAATTTTTCTCGGATCGGGTATCGGTCAGAGAGGGCCGATTTTTTTTATTTATTTTTTTCTCCGATTGTGCGAATTATTCTGTGTTACTTCTGAAGCCATACGATAGCTCAATGTGAGCTACATATGAATATTTAAGTCCTTACATTAAAGTTCACACAAACGTTTCTCCGCTGTGGCTGTCAGTCATTCGTTCAGCCTTTAAACCCTGGTCGCATTCGGTTACAGCAGTCAGTTCGGTAAAGCTCTCTCCAAGATCATTCTGTGTTCCCATTATACTTGACTTGTAAATACATGTCTATGATTTTGCAAAAATGACTTTATCTGCTATAAGTATAGTATTTCAGTCTGGCGAGTAAACAAAAAAAATGTACTAGCCAATGGCGATTCAATTGCCAAGGTGTCCGTAGAGGGTTGTGAATGTTTTTAATGAATGGAGTTTATAATAGAAATAGCAATGTGTAACATTTTACCATATTTAGTGCAACACTTTTATTTGTTCCCCACAAAATATTGTTTTTTCACTAAATGTTTGGATTTCTAAAATTATTGTGTTCTGATTTTTCTAGAATAACTTTTGCTGCCGAATTATCCACTAACCTAGTTTATGATACATTTTTGTCATAGATTATAAATATACATAGGCCTATATTTTTTCATATTTATAGTTTATTTTATTTTTCTTTATGAAAAAGACTACTTAATGAAGTAGTCTGTATCTAGTAGATTGTGAAAGAATGATTATCAGTTCCACACACAGAGATATATAAATTCTACATTTATTTAAATGGGGGAAAAACTTCACTGGTATTGGATCAGTATCGGTATCGGCCAATACTGAACCCTAGGTATCGGAATCTGTATCGGAGGCGAAAAAGGCGGATCGGAGCATCCCTAATTTTAACATAGAATATTATATATTATGAAATATGACATGTAATCATCATTTATATCATATTTAAAGAATACAACATCACATTTATTTAAATACATATACAGTACACTTCTCATATGTCTCTGCATTCTCTGCGTTCTTTGTGCAGTATACTGGAGCTCTCACATATGATGGAGTCAAAGTCATGTCCACAGCCTTCCAGAACCTCCGCAGGCAGAGGATAGATATATCTCGCCGTGGAAATGCTGGAGAATGTCTGGCCAACCCACCAGCACCTTGGGGCCAAGGCATCGATATTCAGAGAGCACTTCAGCAGGTATCTCACGCTGTAGGGTCTGCTCACAGACATATTTTTGAATGAACACAGTGTTCACAAACATAAACTTTCCTATCTGTAAGACTGACACTGGCTCTAATCTATTCTGAGTGTACAAAATGAAACCCCAATAAGCCAATTATAACTTCATCGCATTAAGTTCACACTGATTCCCCAAAGAGGCCATCACAATCAAATGTGACACTTTAGATAATAAACGAACCCAGTTGGTAATAAACATTTATGCTGGTCATAACTGTACACGACAAGTTATATTTACAAAGACATAAGTGAGGGAAAGAACACCTGGCTTTGTTGTGTTACCCTTAGGCAGATGTTTGTCTCTTTGCCTTGGGCGGCGTATGAAGATTTAGGTGCCGAGGATAGAATTTGGCAGGCGAGGTAGAGCAAAATTTGTTAGCAGAAACCAAATCTGATTTAATGGAAATCTGTAGAAATGCTCTCTGTTTGAGAAGCTGTACACAAATTGGTATTTTCTACCAGCCATATCATGTGTTTCTCCTTTTCACTTAATTATGAGTCTGAGAAAGTTTAAACAATGTAGTAAAGTCAGTGAGTAGCATTCTTCTTGCAGAAGTCGACTCACAAACAGTTGCCTGTGGCTGTGTCTGTTGAGAGTCTGATGTGTGCTGGACTGAGGCAATTTGGTCCATCTGCTGAGAGGCTGTGGAGATTGATGTTCAACTCGGTCAATTAACTCCATCATGCAGCCTGGGAGACATTCAGTACTGTACACACAGAAGAGGCGCTGTGAGAGATGTACACCCCTCGAAGGAGGAGGAGGAGGAGGAGGAAGGAAGGAAGGAAGGAAAGAAAGAAAGAAAGATTTATTTTTTGTCTAAATAAAGACATCTTCTATGTGGTTTTTACTCAGGTTCGGATTGAAGGCCTAACGGGGCACATTCAGTTTAACGAGAAAGGAAGAAGGACAAACTATACTGTCAGTGTGATGGAGCTCAGGCCGACGGGACCGAAAAAAGTAAGTATTTAATTATCAGGAAAAGGATTAGGAAGCCTCTCGATATGACAGACTGTTTCACACTTCTTTCTTCATTTATAGTTTAAACGAAACATTCACTTGATAAGCTCCAGTATGGTCACTGTTTCAGCAATCCAGTCTACTTCTTCTGGGCTAACTAAATGAGTACTGTATTACATGTAGTGTCTCCTGTGGGATATCTCAGAAAGGTTTCTGATGATGCTCAAGTTCCTGTCCCTGATTTGATCATTTCTCAGGTGGGTTACTGGAATGAGGATGAGAAATTTGTGAGCACGGCGGCCTACATGCCAGGCAGTAATGACACTTATGGACTTCAGAATCGCACATATATTGTTACCACTATTCTGGTATGTCTTTTTAAAATAATTTACATGATTTACTAGTTTAAACTTGTACTGTATTGAAAGCATTAAATGTTATACTACTATTCAAAAGTTTGGGTCCAGTAAGATTAATTATTCACTATTATTTTATTCAGCAAGGATGCATTATTTTAATCAATAGTAGCAGTAAAGGCATGCATAATGTTACAAAATAAATAAATTTCAAATAAACTGAACTTTCTGTTCACCAAAGAGTCCTGTATGACAGAAAATAATCACATTTTCCATAAATATATTAAGCAGCACAACTGTTTTCAGCATCGATAATAATAAGAATTGTTTCTTGTGCATCAAATCAACATATTATTTGATTTCTGAAGGATCATGTGACACTGAAGACTGGAGTAATGGCTGCTAAAGATTCAGCTTTGCCATTATAAAAATAAACTGCATTTTAAATATATATTTAGATTTAAAAAAAATTTATTTTGCTGTATTTTTTATCAAATACATGCAGCGTTAATGAGCATAAGAGTCTTCTTTTAAAAAACATGAAAAGCTCTTACCAACCCCAAACTTTTGAATAGTAGTTTAAATTCAGAGTGTTCCACATATCCCTACACCTTTATATTAACATGGCATAAATGACATGTTTTTGTGTTCAGCTCAAGATAACTGTTATTGAAACACACCCTCCTAAACTGTCCTGTAGCATTTACATTTTAGTCAATTGATTCGTTTAAATGGTTCATAGCTTGGCTGTAGTTTAATTACTTTAAATATGAGTTGATTGGCAAACTATCATTCATCCCCAACTCTGGTTGAATGACAGTACAGGAATTCAGACTCAGCCCACTATCTCACAAGTCTTCATCATTTTTCCTTTCTTAGAATGGCTGGTAGTTCACCTCCATGTTTTTATCCCTCAGTATTAAAACGGTAATGCTGTGCTGTGCAGATAAAAGCATGAAGGCTCTTCTGTTCTCTGTCTATAAATGAGTCGTTATTGCTCCTTCAGCCACAGTTTTCATCTTATACTTAAAGGGGAACCTTGGATTGAATTGCCAGCAGTGGACAAAAGGTTAATTTTCCTTTTCTTTATCCTTATTCGGCAGATCTTTGGGCTTAGCCTGCGTTTTAGTGATTCTCTAGCAAGTTAGGCTTCAGAGGGCATTTATTAACCTTTCATATGTGGACTGCCCATCTCGTTCCCAGCCAGAGAAAGGGCAGAGTGAGTGGACCTGATGGAAGGATGTGTTGGGGGTATTGGTGATAGGACAAAAAAAAGCAGTAATGGATCATCGGTGTGGGTTAGGGGCTAAGCGCTCACAAGGGAATGGGATGGATTGCAGGAAATAGTCTGAGCTATGCTGTTTGTCCTACAGAGACTGTTTATCAGAGAAGCTGGGAATATCACCACGGGTGCTCTAAAAATGATCTGTTTCTCTGAAAGACAGCGTGTAGGCCATTATGGAGGTCTGCATTAGCAGGAAATGCACTGCCAGTGTGCACTGTCTGTTTCTAAAATGCATTGCAGCACAGCTGGATTCAAAAGTTGTGTTATACTGAAGCATTTGCAGATATGGTAATCAGGGGTTTCAAGGCTTGAGGTTTGTTTCTGGAAAGGGAAAAAGCAGTACATCTCTGTGGTTCTATTTGCTTTTAGTTTCAAACCTATGCTTTTCTTTACGTCAGCCCACTCTATTTTTCTTTCCTTCCTCTTTACACTCTCATGTTATTTGTTCATTGTGAGCTCCTTAGAAAAGTCCTGTTACAGAGTGAGCTGTCAGCAGGGCCGCAGGTGCCGTTTGTGCTGTAATCTCCTCAGGATGTCCAATCTTTCTGAAATATCACAATTGAACTGCTAATTCATATTACAGACCTTCCAAAAATAGAATCACCCTACACTTTCTACACAGTTGATTGCCAGGTCTGTCCCTCATGCTCAAAAATAAGGCATCTGAAAATAAACCTGTCAAATTCACCCTGTTTTAAGTAACAACCTACTATTTGTCTCAAAACATGCTTTCTATAGTGCTTACACAGTCTACTGGATTAGACTAAATCTAAATTTATCCCATTAAAATCAATGGAGGGGTCTACATATCCTATTGTTTCACATCTGGTACAAAGTGCCTTCAGTTGATTTTGATCTTATTTCCCATGTCTGTATATATATATATATATATATATATATATATATATATATA